CCCCGCCTTTCCTTCCTAGTATGCAATGTGGGGCAGCACCTCCACCCTCCCAAAAAGGCAACACATTAAAAATGAATAGGCGTCATAAACAATCCTCCAGCCGTATGCAGGAATAATGAATGGAATTCTAAGAATAAGCCTTTGTTTTGCTTATTGACAAAACTAATTTCTGCTGCTTTACTCCCTTAAGAGCTGGCTGGCATCCACCGCCGCACTGCCTGCTGTGTGCAGACAACGGGAGCGTAAATAAACAGGCCGATTAAGCCACCCACACAGGGAAGCATCAAGGTACTCGGCGCTTGCGCGCGCACACACACACACACACACACACACACACACACACACACACACACACACACACACACAGTGCACGAAAGCACGGGGTGAAAACACACATTGGCCAGCAACCTCGGTGCGGCCGCCTCCACGCGAGCGCCTTTAAATAAAAACATGTTTAATTAACGATATTGAAGCACGGTGTCACAATTAGGAAGATATACGGCCAAACGAGGCAGCGGCCGTGATGGAGCTTCCTCGTCTCGGACTGGCAGCAGGCAACCGACGCTGGACTGGATCCATTTCCCATCAATGGAGTAATGCAATATACTCTGCAGTAAGCTGGCGCGAGCACCTTTTGCATCCCTCCTCGCCGCGCTCCCGTCCCGCTCACGTGACCCGGCGTTGGCTGTGCTTTCTATTGATTGTGTGGGCACACGTCATCTAGGGTTTCAGCAGTTAATAAATCAGGCCTGCTCCTGACACAGCCGCTCTGCAAGTGTATGTGTGTGTGTGTGTGTGTGTGTGTGTGTGTGTGTGTGTGTGTGTGTGTGTGTGTGTGTGTGTGGGCCTGTCACGGACCAGTCAGCAGGAGTGAAAGCGACAGCCACATGATAATGTAACATCACCACCATTCATCCCTGCCACGCAGCATTCTCAGACAAAACAACAACCTAGGAACCTGGAGAAGGAAGGGAGGGCTGGGGGGGGGTTGCGGGGGGGAGCTGTGTGTGATTTACAGCAGACATGACAAGTATCACTAATACAAGTCCTCGCCTCCGTGCTCCACCGGGGAGTTCAGCATCCGCTCATCTGCATTTGCTACAAGCACGCGCCGCCGCGTCATTCCTCAAAGTGACCCACGCTGGGACCAAACTCTACTCAGATAAGCCAGGCTATTATCATTGCTGGCGGTACAGTGACGTTTGGATGTATGCACCTTATTGTCTGCAAGACGGCGTCAAACAAAACAAAACTAGAAAAATAGAACCGATTTTGTTACAGTGCTTTTTTTTTTTGTTGAATTTTTTTAATCCTTTCAGGCACAGCGCTCACTACGGTGGACAGCTTATCATGTTATCGGGTTACAGGTTATCAATGTAGGTCCACGAAAGGGTTAACTCAGGTCACAGCTTGAGGTGCACACTCGAAGGAGATCCACGACAAAAGTTTTTGCCTGAACAAAGATAATTTTGCAGTTTGGATTGACACTCTCAAACAGGCATTAACCTACTTCCAAAGAGCACAAAATGAATATGTGCCACGTCAATTGGAATTTGCTGTTTACAAAAGAAAAAAAAAATCGCACCCAAACCCGCCTGCAATGTCTTGAAAATGCAACACAGTCGAGGCCGGGATGTAGATTTGTGGTATCTGTCAATGGACTCCGGGGAGTGTCTCGTGGCCCAAAATGTTCCCTCCATCACCAGGTAATGGAAAACTGTACAGGCTCAGTACACAAGGGCACCGTCATAAAGTCGCTCTAAAACAGCTTTATGTTTTATCAGCCATCTCGAGTATCATGTGCAGAAAGGGAGTGTTGTATCTGACACTGGGCGGGCACGGTTTTTTGGGGGCGGTGGGTGGGGTTGGGGCGGGCATGGAGCAGGCGAGGAAGGGGAGAGAGAGCGACGGAGGGAGAATGAAAGGCGAAAAATAGAAATGGAATCGGAAAGCGAGGTGTCAATTAAAAAAATGAACCCCAGTGCATTTGGGAGGTGACA